CAATCTTAGAAAAGAAGTCACTAGGTAGGCCGGCCACAAAGAGAAGGGTATAGAGCGAGAGGCTTCTTACGAGGGCTACAAAGACAAAGAGATTTGGAGGTCGTTTCTACCAAATTATGGCTGTCCGTTTCAAAAATAGAATAAAATTATGGTTGTTAATCTTGCAGGAAGTCCCTCCCACTTCGCCCCTTGTGTGACTTTAGCTGCCACTATGGCAAATCACGCTCTGGTGCAAGGAATTTAGACTGGACGAACCCACATTTTTTTTTGATAAAGGGAATTTCATTGAATTGAAATATTGAGTTGATACAATCGCATCGTAGAATGCCCGGCCTCTGCATAAGGCTGGTCACAATAGGCAAGAACATAGTCTAGTAACTTACACACTTCCCTAGATTATGTTACTACCTCCACAGTGGGTAGGAACATCTATGTAGTGTCATGCAATAATGTATTTATTAGGTTATAGACTCATTGTTTCTTGGAGTGTATGATGTTCCGGTAACTTAGCTAGTTACCACAAGCACCTCTCTCTTCATTAAATATGTGGCACATAAGCAAAGTTGTATTGGAGTGTGTGATGTTACTCCTAAGTTCCTCCCCATTGTGACCAGCCTAACTAGATGCACACAACCAACAAGTGCAAAAACCGAAAAAGGAATTTGGACTGGACGAATCCGCATGCCAAGTTTAGTTTGCAACCAAAATGTTCTCATACAAGTCATTGACCGCGAGTGCTATAGACATGGGCCTAGTGCGAGCTAGATACCCCCTTTGCCCGGAAGAGTAAAGCAGACATGGAAGGAAATGCAATCCCATCCGATTGTGGCCACGTAGTGCAAATAGGTACGTCTTGGCTTTGGCATCACACTCGACAAACCCGACCTCGCCCCTATGGCCAATGTGGATCCTTTGCACTCTTTGCCGGTGGCACCGGATGAACCCTATAAATTGGGGTAAAGGAGGAGGTCATGCAGATTCCTTAAAAAAATAAAGAATATGGGGGAGAACGAGTGGGTCTCGCCTTCTCTCGCAATATCAGGAGAGGGACGAGACGGAGGATAGCGTCATGGGGAGACCGTGAAACAAGAGAAGTGCCGAATGAAATAGGGCCTAAACCGGTTGACAAAGCATGATTAGGCGAGATAAATCAATGGTTCAATTGTATTAGGAGGTTAGTTGTACCAAAATAGGTGTTTTATTTTAGTAAAAAAATAATTTAGAGGGGATGCATTTTCTTAGTGGAACATGGGACTTTTATTAAGGAATAATGTTCAAATACATACATATGAGATCATGTGTACTAAGCTAGACATGACGACTAACATCCAGAGAGGCTCCGGAGTGAGAAAGGTTGGGTGAAAGTAGTAGCTTTGGGGCGTATATTTAAAGTTGGGCCCGGGCTCACCTAATCTGGTTGAAAAAAAAATCAGAAAAAGAATACGAAAACGTTTTGACGATTTCTAAATGTTCTTGACAGGTAACATGTGTCTAACAGCGTGCACATTCTCATCGACGAACGACATTCATAGTGGTCTGTGCGGGAAAAACAATCGATGCTCTAGCATGCTTTTAAAAATAGCATTTCTAGAGCACTGACTTTTTGTTGATCCTCGATTAGGTGTCACCTCAGCCTGCTCATCCTAGCATATTATCGTTCCAAATTTTCCATAACGATGACGAGTCGATGACAGAGGCTGCTATCGTGCCAAATTTTCATTTATATAGTATTCCCTCCGTCCCAAAATAAGTGACTCAAGTTTGTACTAACTTTATACTAAAGCTAGTACAAAGTTGAGTCATTTATTTTGGGACGGAGGAAGTACTATACAAAACTGGAAACTTGCTGGACTTTTCGTCAACAACTAGTTGGGTACGTACATACATCAATGGCCATTATTTAGTTCTTGAAATCTTTCGTGGACAAAGTCTAGCCGCCTATGCATGTGAGTATAGTAAGCTCATGCCCCATGCATCCACAATAATACTCCGTTGACAGTGTTAAAGTACTTAAATTGGTGGATGAGATCGAATTTAAGTAAGATATGATGATAGTGATGAGCTAGCTGAATCTTACAACACCCGGTCGTCTGCTCACATGCATGATCGGTAGTACGTACGTGTCTTTTTCTTACACCTACTCGAGTCGTCGTTGATCATTTTGCACATGCATCTGTGTGCATGCAGCAGCTTGGCGCTGCGTGCACGCCTTGGCCCGGCCGGTCACCCTCATTCCATCAATCACGTTTAACTTTTTATTGCCTATTAATACGTGTCGGTAACGAATTTATGAAGTGTATTGCGATGATATGCTAGGCCAGCGCTAGGTGTCAACCGGCCAGAGCGAGAAAAGTAAGCCTCCTCTGATCCTGCCCGAGCTAGTTACAGAGGAAAACTTTCTATGGAGTGGCGTGATCATCCTCCTGACTCCTTGATCCCCTCTCTTATAACATAGATGATTATTGTTTAACAAATGTCGCCGAAGTTCAAAAAAAAAGTCACTAGGTAAGTAGGTAAACCGGCCACAAAGAGAAGAAGGGTAGAGCGAGATGCTTGTTTAGGCTAAGGACAACAATGACAGAGATATTTGGAGATCGTTTCTACAAAATTATGTCTGTCAATCATGCGAAAAAAGCACATATCCGTTCGCCCCTCCGTGCCGCGTCAGGTGCCACAATGGAAAATCCCGTTTGGGTGCATGTAGGTTCGGACTCGGCTGAACCCGCACCCCAAACATGGGAAGGAAATGCAATAGTACCTCTTGACACCGGCAAAATAGTGCAATAATACCTCTTGACACCGGCAAAATAGTGCAATAGTACCTATTGACATTGCAAACATTTCAACGAATCCAACCTCATCCCCATGGCCAATTTGACTATTTCCCAGCGGCACTAGACAAACCCTAGAACTTGGGGTTAAGGTGGAGCTAGTGCGTATTCCTTCAAAAATCGAAAGAATGGGGAATATACGAGTGGGAGCCATCTAGGTTTACACCAATTGTGGATTCCTTCGAAAATCAAAAAGATGGGGAAGATTCGAGTAGGAGTCAACTAAGTTTACGTCATTTCTGGATAAACTTGGGAATAGTTTCAAACCCAGATCTTCAAGGTAGCACTGCCATTGTTGCCGCTGTCTCTGGCTGCATGAGGAGAAGGGCGAGACAGAGGAAGGTATCATGGGTAGATAGCAAAACGGGAGAAGTGCCGAATGAACCAGGTCCTAAACCGGTTGACTAAGCATGATTAGGGAAGATAAAAAGGCCAGTTCAGTTGTATAGTAGGTTAATTGCACCTAACTAGGTGTTTTATTGTAGTAAAAAATATGTTAAGGGAGGATGCAATTTTTGTAGTCAAACTTTATGTAGGAATAATGTTCAAAGGCATACATATGATATGAGAGTATCAAGCCAAACATGACGACCAACATGCAGAGTGGCCTCAGAGTGATAGAGGTTGGGAGAAAGCAATTCGGGGGTATTCAAAGTTGAACGAAAGCTCTCCCATCTGCTTGGCAAAGAATAAAAAAAAATCCTTTTCCAGAGGTAAAATGTGTCTAACCGCATGCACATTTTGATCAACAAGCGAAATTCATAGTGGTATGTTCGAGAAAAACAAAATCAATGCTTTAACATGCTTCAAAAATAGAATCTCTAGAACACTATATATCTGTTTTTGCGCAGGGCAATACAAAAGTCATTTGTCTATACAAATATGCACGTAGTTAGAATACACATGCTTTTTGTGAAAAAAGTTACTCCCTCTTATCTATAATAAGTCTCGCAGTTTTGATCTAAGGTTAGTTCAGAACTGCGGCTATTATTTTGAATAGGAAGGGGCAGAATTTGTTAAATAGCTTTGCTTTTTTCCTTTTGAGTTTTTTCCAACCAGTTTGGGCTCCAAATTGCTGACCACGGGTGAACTTATCTCTTTTTTTAGGAATGGGTGGACTTACGGCGAATCCTATTTGGTGCAGGTGCCCGTTAGTTTGTATTTTGCAAACATGGTGTTGGGCCGGGTCATATAGTTTTTCTTCTTCCGTGTGTTTTAATCCGCAAAAATTGCACGCGCTGGTGGCGATTCAAACCAACGACCTCCCTCTTCGACACAGACTAGTGTAACCACTACGCCAACCAGCCGGATCTGGTTAATTAGAAAAGTTCCTTCCTTTTATTCTTTCTTTTTCGTTTCTCCCTTTTTTTAACTTTCTTTTTGTTTTCCTTTTCTATTTTTTTCTTTTTTCTTCTTCCTGGGTCAATGAATTGTCTTGCAAATACGTGAACTTTTTCTTCAAATCGATGAACTTATTTTGAAATTCAATAAACTTTTTTCATTTTTGTGTAATTTTTTAAAATTCATGAATATTTTTTCTTTATCTGATGAACTATTTTAAAAATCGATAAACATTTTTTTGGATTCAATGAACTTTTTCTAACTTTGATGAACTTTTCTCAATTTCGATGAACTTTCCTTAGATTCGATGAACTTATTAATTATGATAAAATTTTCTCAGATTTGATGAACTATTTTCCAATTTTGATGAATTTTTTTACAGATTTGATGAACTTTTTTTTAGAAAAACAATGATTTTTTTCCAAATTTGAAAAAAGTTCATGCATTTTTGAAAAAAAAAAGTTTTCTTTCATTTCTTTTTTAGAAAAGTCACACATTTAGCAAAAAAAAGGAAAGAAAAAAGGCGAAAAAAATCGTTACAGAAAAAGAGAAGAAAGGAAAAAAATGGTTTGGAAAGCTTCCCACACCGGGGGCTTTGCGAGGTGGAGAAAGAATGAAAGAAAGCAAACGAAGTTAGTGAGCACAGGTCGTTCGATGGCATAGTGCACTGCTATGTGAAGGGTAAGGTCCCCAGTTCGAATCCAGCTCTCCCCGCTCCCGGACTTCTTCTAAAAAAAAGGAGCTCCGTCCTCCCTTTCCCCACCTGGGCCAAACCTGAACTTGGGCTTCCTCCTTGCCAATTCAACTGGTCCAAAGACTGGCCCACCGATGCAGCCGAGGCCAGCCCAGGACGCCCTCTTCTGGCTTCTGCTCCCAGCACAGCGCCGGCCTGCAGCTCTGAACCCTACCGCCAACGGTGCGGCGCGCGGCCGGCCGGAGCGTATCCTCGCCGGCTATCCGGCGCCGCCACCAGGCACCGTCTTCCGCAACTCCATACCTTCGGGTGCTCACTCCTCCGGGCCCCGACCTCAAGACCGTGTCGGCCGCTCGGCGGAGCCCGTGAATCCTCAATCCTCAGGGCTCAGGCTGTCCACTTCCTCAAGACCGTGCGTCAATCGAGCTCCAGAGCAAGGGCAAGGTGAATTTTATTCATTTGAATTCGTGTATTGCAAACATTTTGATTTTGTTCTGCCCACTGAAAAAACTGAAGGATATATATACAATGATTCAGTGGCGTACTGTTGTTACATTAGCTTGTCACCTTCAGTTATTTTATGACTTACTCTTATCCTCTAGCAGGATTCAGTACACGTCTGGTTATCTAACTGCTAAAAGCCTACAACCAGAGCTATATGTATCCCTGTTCTCGACATCGATGAATTCAAGTCAACAGTTTATCCCGTTTGTTAGATGTTATCAGTGTGTGGTTTCCTTGAAAAAATGCGCGGTGGTTTGCTCCCCGCGCTGATCTGCTTCTCGCTATGCAGCGGCCACGGACTGAAGACAGGGGCACCACCGTGGTTTGCTGCAGAATCTGAAACCAACCAATTAACTACAGAATCTGAAGCCTCTTTTTCAACTCAGTACGGATAATATTATCTTGTACTATTATTTTCTAATTTTGCTCATGTTTATCTATTTTGTTGGATCGTTAAATGTCGATTTCCAATTCTACCATAGCTGTGCAATTGAGCTATAGTTGTTTATGCCATGACATGGGATACTTTTCTGGTTAGTTATAAGCGATGAACATTTAGCCTGGCTTGCTTGAATCCTGGCTCCGCCAATAATATATATAACATTATGTGATAAAAATGTGAAGTTCTAGTTAGATCTCTTTTCTGAACTTCATTGCCTCATGGGTTGTATGCAGACTCAGCATGGACTCCCTTCATCTTGTGCACGTCAAGCTTCTGGCTGCCGACCTTCTCACGCTCACCCCCCGACATACATCGCCGGCTTCCTTTGTTCGCTGTGGCCGTACAGTTGCTCGTGCCGAGGTTGTCGGGATCGTTGTTTCACGTGACCGCAGGGAGAAGTTTCTCCGCTTCCTGGTTGATGATGGCACTGGCTGTATACCGTGTGTCCTGTGGTTGAACCACCGGTACCTGAATGCAAACAGTTCATCCGATTCTGATCCAACTGGAGAGATGGCATTGAAAATGTCGGAGGTGGTACGCCTGGGCACCCTGTTGAGGGTTCGTGGGAGGATTGTCATGTACCGTGGTGCAATTCAGATTGCTGCTAGAGACGTGGTTCTAGAGGAGGACCCTAATGTGGAGGTTCTACATTGGTTGCAGTGCGTTCACATGGCCAAGGAATGTTATGATTTGCCACTACCTTCTGCTTGAGTTGTGCCTCGGAGGATCTCATGCTCTATAATGATCCCAAATTGTACGGTGTTTCTTTCTGTGGTTACTGTTGAGCCAACTTCTTCTAACGCGATCCAGCGTGTGTACGGCAAACATCGTTAATCAAATGCCTTTTTTGCTCGACTGCATTTGATTTACTTCATTTAAGTAGGATTACTATCTTGCGTGCAGTTATTCATTAAAGGCATACATGGTTAAACTCAACTCGAAACATGCAAGTCTTGCTGATGATATGATTTATCCAGCGGTTATATGTCTCCAGAATATGCAATGGAAGGCCTCTTTTCTGTTAAGTCTGATGTCTATAGCTTTGGAGTATTGCTCTTGGAAACTGTAAGTGGTCTAAGGATTAGCTCAACCCAGAACATCAATGAGTTCCCCAACCTTATAATATATGTAAGATTATGATTTACCATGGCAATGTCCGGAATGCCTTGACCACATGACTTAAATTTTTTTGATTCGATTTATTCAGGCATGGAGTCTATGGAGGGAAGGGCTGGCAAAAGATCTTGTCGATCCATCTGTTTCAGAGAGCTGCTCGGATGAAGAAGTTTTGTATTGCATTCATGTCGGGCTCTTGTGTGTTCAGGATGACTCGGATGCGAGACCACCCATGTCAACGGTTTTAACAACCTTGGAGAGTAGAAGCACACCACTTGCAACGCCTGATAAGCCGCCGTATTTTTCTGGGAGAAATAAGGTAGCAAAGAGAGCAGACTATGGCTAGGACTCTGTGGATACGGAGACTCTTACAGTAGTAGAGAGACGGTAGGGTCTCGAAGTGAGTTTCGCCCGTGCACCGTTTCTCAGTTGTCCCAACAATTTGCTAAAGGATTTATCTGCCACCGCAATCACACGCACTGGAGTTCTCCTTTGATGTGGCATGGTATGCCTTAAAGAAATTCTTGTTTTGTATTTGTATTTTCCTCTGGGGTTCCACTGTGAAGTCTGGACTCTGGACTATTACAGTTTCTATGTCGTGACGAGTACGGAATATTTATTTTATGGTAAAAAAAGACGGAAGTAACAAAGATTTTCCCTTATAAGAGATACAGAAGAAAGGTTGGATGTGTTTCTGGATGCTGATGTTGTGGCTGCCTGATATGTTTTATCCGGTTACTCTTGCTGACGGTATTCTGAAGCTAATCGGTACGGCTACTAGTGCTGTTATCCATGACATCAAGTTGTTAGCGTTGAAGTTTGTTTGAGTTTCCTTTATTATTCATGTAATTGAGCCTGTAATATGCCGGCTCACGCTATCACGCGATCTGCGAAGCATGATGCCATTATTTCATATTTTCCATCACAAATCTTTATTTTGGTTGTGTGTTCTTTTGGGCATAAGCATCAAACCAAATCTTATATCCCTGGCAGGCGACAATTTCAGGGACTGGGTAAACAAAATCTTAATACCAAGACAACAATAATCTGATTAACCAATCTTATATCTCAGGCAAAAAAGTTGATTGGAAAACCGGTCTTGAATCCTGGCACTAAGTTTCTTTCATTAACATAACACTAACTGGCTTCAGTTGAATTCAAAACAAAGTTTGTACCAAGGATAATTCAAAGTGAAACACAACTGAATTTCATAACTAGAAGATTCAACAAAAAGTTTAGTTTTATAATTTGGCGGGGGCGGCGAGGACGCGTACCCCTTATAACACAAATTATGATGTCCACTCTCCCACAAAGGGAAAATGGTAGATCAACGTGCTCACTATGTGCAATGTGAACCATTGATGTAG